AATAATATAAAAAAAATTTTATGTGAGTCTGCTGTGAAATTTCTACAAGACACTATCAAGAATTACGTGGCAAGGAGGATGAGGCTTCAACCACTGGATCGCAATGTAGATGAATGACTTATAGCTGTAGTAGATTGCCACAGAAGCACTTCTATTAAGATATAAATTGCCACAGAAGCACTTCTATTAAGATATAAATCTTCGTCTTTTAAATTCTATCGCTAAACTGCATTTGCCATAGTTTTGCTTTCTGCTGGACAGGAGACGCGTGATTGCTGACTGCTCTCTTGACTGCTTAAGGGAAACTTCCGGACTTAATTGTTGGCCATATATTTCTATTCCAATGTGTGAAAACGTAGATAAGGAGGCTCTAATGGGCATTATGGGTGTACTCGAGGAGGATTTCCGTGGAATGCAAACCAGAGTCCATATATTCTTAGAATATTCTTAGAATTGATGAGAAGAAATATGGATCTGCCGCTATACAAGTATTTCATCCTAAGATCCTTCAAAATAGTTATCACCTAGTTGGTGAAAGAAGTGATATGTCACAGAATAAGAATTAGTATTGTCATCTAATTACCGAGCAGCACGTTGTAATACAGCAGTGATGATATAATAGCCTGTTTAAGTGCAATCAGAAGGCTGCAAATCCACCAACAGTTGAAAGTCTGCAAATCCACCATGGTTGAAAGATGAGCAGTCTCCACCCATGGAAAAAAAATGGATGGTGGTTTTCTACTTGAGAATCTGTTCCCCACCAATGCAAAAGTGACTGAGATCATATCAATGCGAGTTTCCTTTCAGATGGTTTTAAATATTTATGATGATTACCCCAGTTCTACATGAAAGTTCCTCACAACACCTTCAAGAAACATCAGTGCAAGCTCTCCTTGCCTAGTTGTAAGAAGTTGTATTGCAATCCCAAAGCCAAAGGCTTTGAATCAACGGAAGGATGGTTCTCTTAATGAGTTTAGGAGAGTAAACACGAAATAAGGGGCAAATGGGTACTTCCCACCGTAACCATATGTTTGCTAAGTGTGGAAGAGTCGACTATGAGTCACAGTGGTCTTGTGAACGAGAGATCTGAGCTCTGTCCCATCCGGCGCCATCCTACCATGTCTGACCTCCTGTAGCCACCACCACAGTCACTGCGCCAATCCATCCCCTTGAGAGTCTTTCACTCTTTAGCTGTTGATCAGGCCCCGCCCAGAGTCCATCGTGCCCCCTCCCACGGGGCGCCCTGCCCCTAGGTACAGAGCCACCCCTCAGCCCCCGGCGCTTAGACCCCCTTCCCGGTCAGGTGGCCTGGAGTCCGTCCCCCACCCGCTCCGGGGCCGGGGTGTCCCGAGGTTGGGACCCGCGCTCCATTACGAGCCTTGCCTGTGCCTGCCGCGAGCCTGTCCACCCCTTCCTCTGCCCTCCAGCGCAGCCTCTGTCACCCGATTCCTTCCCTCCCCACTTCCTTCTGAGGCTGCCACCAGCCCTAGCCTTTCCCTCCTCCGCCCCCCTGCCCTCAAGCACCTCCTGTCCCCGCACTCCAGCCCGCACGCTGGGATACCACCCGCTCCGCACGCGATGCCCTACCCCACCCCACACAGCCACACACCCCCGCAGCTCAAGCAGCGCCCCTACTCTCGCCCCCCCCCCCTGCCCCCCGGCCCGCTGCCCTCCCCCTCGCCCCCCCAAGTCTGTGCCCCCCACCTCGCACCCGGATCCATGTTCCCCCACCGCGTACCCGGCAGCCGCCCTCCACCTCGCACCCCATTCATATCTCCCCACCACGTACCCAGGCCCCGCGGCCTTCCACATTGCTCCCCCGCCTGCCGCTCTCCACCTCGCGCCCTGATCCGTGCCCCTTCACTTCGCCCCCCGCCCCAGATCCGTGCCCCTCACCTTGCACCCCCTCCACCTCGCGCCCGGACCTGTGCCCCCTCACCTCACGCCCCACTTGTGCTCCCCACATCACGCCTGGTGCTCCTGCCCTTGCGATGTCCAGTATCACGATAAATCCGGGAAGGAAAGACAACCAGCACTTGTCTCCTGAGATTTATACTCTATTACACTCTTCTCTTGTATCCTCAGCCACAGGCTGCAAATGGATAAACTGCTGCCATTGCCTCTGGTGGCAGCAGGAGGTGGCTTTGAACCTGAGAACAAGTGAACTTGTGGTCAATAAACTCATTGAGGACTCGTTCTTTTTGGGGGGGTATTCCCTCACCTTTTAGGATCTGTGTCAGGGACCCTGGACCGGGGTAGGCACTCCAGTTGGATAAAGCTGAGATAAGGGAGGAGATCTGCATGGGCAGAGGGTGTGGAGGTCCTGGAACCCGGTGGGCACTGAGTGCAAAGGACAGGGGGACAGTGCTGGGAAGTGCTAAAGACTGACTGCGATGGAGAATCCAAGGAGCTAGAAGGCAATCTTCTCTGGAGGGGAAGCTCAGTGCAGCCAGGAATGCAAGAGGTGTGCTTGGTGGAAAGGGGTGTTTCCCCCTCTGCAGATGGGAACAAAGAAATCAACAAACCAGGAGCAGGGAGAGAGGTCGGCCCTGGGGACACTCCTGGGGATCCAATGGCCACAGAAAGGGTTGCTTGGGAAAGGAACCCTTCCAGAAGGACATCTAGGTAGTTCAGAAAGAGAAGAAATCACAACTCCTAGATGGTTCCTGGCAGTAGGGCTGTTAGTGGAAGCCCTGCTCATGATGAGAGAGGAAGAGGGAAAAGGGAGGCTGTGGATGTGAGAATGCAAGGGGGTGTTGTCAGCAACTTTCAGTGACGTGGGAACAGTCACCCACCTGTTGGTTCCTATCTCTAATGAAGTCACCTAAAAATCCATAGTGATAGACAAAAAGGCAGAAGAAAAAGCAAATATGAGCCACAATATCCTCTTCAGATAAAAACACGGGGAGCAGGTCTAGGCATCGCCTTTACCACATTGCCTGCTAGTGGCCCAGATCACCAACATTCTTCTCAATGTCCTCAGTCACTGTCAAGGGTGCTGTGTTCCTGTCCTATGTCACTGAAATGGGACCAGTGTGAGAATGCTGGGATCAATGGACAGTTCGGTAAACCCTCTGGGTGGTTTTCAACCCAAGTGGTGACAATTGGCTTCAGAGTTGAGAGAAGACAACAGTATGGTCTTTTGTGGGGAGGGGAGACCAGATGGTATGAAAGTCCATTCTGGCACTTTGAGAAACAATGTGATGAGGAAGCTCAGCCTTAAGCATTGGCCTTTGAGCTCGGTGGGCATCCCTTTCAGGATGCCACGGGCTCCACATCTTTTGGAAGCTCTGATCCTCACCCAATACACCCTTCCAATGCCTCTGGCTGCCCTGGTCTTTGTTTAGCAGTGGGATTGTACCTGAACGACTACATTCTTTTTACAGATAGCTAAACCCCCACAGAATCTCACTGATTTGGGCCAAGGAAGTTTCTCCCTGAAGAAATTTGCTACAATCTTGCCTTGTCTAGAGAACTCTCAAGACAGGAAGAAAGTGCAGTAAACTTTACTTTCTGCTGAAATACACCAACAGGCAAAACTTCATGAACAAATACTTTCCATTCTCTCAGCACAAACTGGCTGTGTAAGATCTGAAAAATGAGTTGCTGTTGTATGCTCTGGATTGTGTCCTATTGCTAGCAATTCTACAGGACAGAGTAGAATTGTCCTCTTGTATTTCCTAGACCATAATCTCTGTAACACGCTGGTTTATAAGATGGCGGAGCAAATATGCCATGGGCCTCTCTCACACCTCACCCCACCCCTGTGCACATTGTATCAATGTGGCATCAGATTCTGGGGAAGTCTCATCTGGTGATGATACAACTTAGCTTACCAAAAGCAAGGAGAACCTGAGGTGCTTATTGCGGAAAGTCAAAGACTCTCAATATGGACTATATCTCAACATCAAGAAAATGTCCAAAAGGAAACACCAAAATAGATAAAAGATTGAAGTGGCCAACAATTTAATCTTTCTAGGATCCACAATCAATACCCTTGGCAACAACAGTCAAGAAATTAAAACATCCGGCAGAAACCATAGAGAGGAAGGCTGCTGGGTTCCTCCGTGAGGCCTCGCTCAAGTGAAACGTGGCAAAGTCGTTTTTTGGGGGATCTATTTTCCCCAACCCTCCAAAACAGAGTAGAACTACCCCCTAGGGTTTTAAGGATGTAATCTTTAAGGAAATAGAATGCAGTATTCTCCACCCCCATTCTGGGCATTAAACAAGGGCCTGTCTAGCCCCGGAAGGACTCAGCTCATTGGTGCACACTTTCAGGGACTTCTCCGTGTGGCGTTTGGTGCCTTCATCAGCCAGCATTACCCGACCTGGCTTGCTGTAAACTTTCAACGTAGCCCACTTCTCCAGGAATTACTGGCATCTCCTGATAACATACCCAAAGTATGTGAGAAAAGTCTCGCCATCCTTTCTTCTGAAGAGCATTCTGACTGCACTTTGCCCAAGACACATTTGTTTCTGTGGTGGTGAACAAAAGTGGAAAAAAGGATCTTTAAATGGACATTTGGCATCATCTCTAAATATTTGTATCAACATATAAGTATCCAATGAGACATTGACCCCAACAAATCTAATTAAGTAATTGAGGCAAGTTTATGTGTGTCATCAAATTCAACCAGTACATGAAGGATCTGCTCTTAAATTTGAAGAGGGAGTATATTAAGGAGAAAATGACTTTTCAATTTAATTTCACTATAGAAGATCATATGGAAAATGAATTAACACCTTTTGGAGATGAAGATATGACCTTGGGTTCCTCAGAAGAGTCAACTGTTTCAGAAAGTAAAAAAAGAAAACTTGAGAACAGAAAATGTTCTATAGAACAACTTAGCTTGCCTCAGGGTCACTTTCCTAAATCATTAGGTAATGCAACTCTCTCTCAAGACAGAAAAAGTCCACTTCGTGCAGCTAATAGTTCAGAGAACTTGGAATCAAACAAAAAACAGCCCTGTTTGACATTTGCCAAAGAGCACACAATGCCTCAAGATTTAAAGAAACTATTAGAAAATAAAGTTGTAGAAACTTTACCAGG